TCATCAGAGCAGCAATTCAGACCAATCTGAACACCCAGAAAGCGTTCACACTGATTAGCAGCATTTTCCGCAGAGTGGCCTATCATCAAGGTTACGCTCCTCCCGCGAGCGTATGGTCATTACGACTCGTTATCAGCATATATCTAGACTGAAAGTTGCCCCAAATACAGTTATAATCACCATAGCTTTTATTCGGGTGAATGCGGCAGCAATGGCGGCTATGGACAATACCCACTCTCGGGGGCCGTCTCTGTGCTTTGTCACATAGCACAGATATAGACAGCCACTGCTTGCTCACATTTGCACACCGCCAAGTCCGCTTCAACACAAGGTTAGTGCAGACTTAGCACTAACCTTGTGCAGGCTTAGCACATAGCCAAGTTAGCACACGAGCAAGCACTAACCTTGTATATGTGAGCGCCTATGCAATGCTAATCAGTGCTTGCTCACCTATGTGCTGCGTGTGCTATGATATGCTAATCAGTGCTCATTAGTGCAGGCTTAGCACATAGCCAAGTTAGCACATAGGTGAGTAAGCACTGATTAGCATAGCATAGCATAGCATAGCACAGATATACGAAGCCACTGCTCGCCCACACTTGCCCACCCCTAAGTCTGCATTGACACAAGCTTCATGCAGACTCAGCATATAGCCAAGTGAGCACATGGCTGATTAGCACACATAGCACACCACATAGCACAGTTAGCATATCAGACATAGCATAGCACAGCACAGATCGCACACCGCATAGCACAGTTAGCATATCCGACATAGCATAGCACATAGCACAGTTAGCAGAGCATACATCGCATAGCATAGCATACATAGCATAGCACATAGCAAAGCACAGATAGCATTGCATACGTAACAATGATAGCATAGCATAGCACAAATAGCATAGCATAACACAAATAGCATAGCATAACACAAATAGCATAGCATACAGAGCATACCACACATAGCATAGCACATCCTATACATAACATAGCCAAGTTAGCACATGGCTGAACGAGCGCTGATTTGCACACATAGCATAGCATAGCATAGCATAGCATAGCAACAGATATGGATAGCCACTGCTTGGCCTCATTTATGCACCCCTATAGCCCCGGAGGGAGACGGGCTTAATTCAGGCTTAGCACATGGCCAAGTCAGCACAGATTGGAATATGCTCCCAAGTCCACACACACCACACAGATGGCAATTTCGATAATGGACACTCGACCCACCGTTAGCCAGAGAATGGAATGTCTGCACCTGACCTGGATCATAATGTGTATACAGTGTACTATACACTCTACTCCAAGCGACAAGAATACAAAAGGCAAGCAGAAGACACGCAGCTACCGTGGGGAAGAAAAGGTTGCCGGGCTGTCATTGCAGACCTATGGGGGAAGATAGCGGCGCAGGACAGTCAGTCAAGGAGCAGGAGTTAGCACATGGGGATTGTTAATCCACCAGTACCTGGACGTTTTTAGGCCGTTAATGCGGTGACTGAATCGGTGTGCCGCATGGGTCCATATGCATTTGAATCAGAGCCTCCCCAGAGTGGGGGGGGGCTAAGACCCCCCGGGGGACTGGTGGTTTAACTTGTGCTTGCTTGGATAGCAATAGGCATAGGCATATAGCCGGCGATTGGTAGGGCCAGAATTTTAGCACAATGCTCAGAGACTTTCCGTGGACTTGGGCTTGGGCTTGGGCTTGGGCTTCGGCTTGAGCTTGGGCACAGGCACATACTTTCTGATGCTTGAACTCAAGACTTAGCATATGCGGTGGGTGTGCTTGCTACGATAGCAATAGGCATAGGCATCGATTGCTGGCTATCTATGACTATGGCCATGGCCATAGACATAAACTAGTCACTATCTATGACTTTGGCAACAGCCATACAAAGCGCGTGAAATAGTGAGCTGCTAAGGAGGTGCAAGCTCAGACAGGTTATGTCAGTCTGTGATCTTGGGCAAGTACTGTGTCCTTCTTGCACTGGCTTTGCTGTGCTTCCTTCGATGACCATCGATTGGTGGCTGTCTATGGACTAAAGCAGTAGATTGGTGGCTGTCTATGGACTGAAGCAGTAGATTGGTGGCCATGTATGACTACAGCCGTGTACATCAGTGGTCATCTATGACGATAGCCATATACATCAGTGCTCATCTATGATTATAGCCATAGATGATAAGATAGAATGGCTATCTATGGACTATAGCAATAGATTGGTGGCCATCTTTGACTATAGCCATACATCAGTGGCCATCTATGACTATATAGCGATAGATTGGTGGCCATCTTTGACTATAGCCATACATCAGTGGCCATCTATGACTATAGCCATACACCAGTGGCGATCTATGACTGTAGCCATGCATCAGCGCCGATTCAGCGACCATCTATGACTATGGCCATAGATAATACATATAATAGCTATACGTCAGTGGCGATCTATAACCACAGTGGCCATCAATGACTATAGCCATAGATACTAGATATAATGGCTATCTACCATGCTTCAGAAGATTGCGTTCTTTGTGTCCCACCACTCCGGACGAACGACACAAACATTCCAAATCTCCAAGAGCGCGACCATCTCAGTTCTATCTCCCCCTAAGGCTGTTTCCTTCTTTTTTTTTTTTTTTTTTTTTTTTTTTTTTGGGGGGGGGGGGGGGGGGGGGGGGAGGAAGAGGGGGAGTGCTTGACAGTCTTGATTCAGGCATTCAGCAAGATGAATTACAAGGACTGCGAAGTTTCAAGGAGAGTTCCTGTTTTGTTTTGTTTCTCTTGTAGACTTTTTGTACCAAAGTTAAAAACTTTTTTTTTCTTGCGGGGGGGGGGCCAGGCGGGAGGGGAAGATTTGAAATAATATTAAACACAATTTTGACAAATCGGAGAGGGCAAGCGGCAAATTTTCTCTCTCTTGCTTTTCAATTTTCTTCAAAGGCACCCATCTATCTGACTCCTCTAGGGTTGAAGGGCTTTTTCTTTTTCTTTTTCTTTTTCTTTCTCTTTTTCTTTTTTTTTTTTTTTTTTTTTAGGATTTTTGAACACCACCACCTTTCCCAGGCAAGATCGAGATGGTGCCACATTTTTTTATGTTCAAAAATGTGCTTGACAGTCTTGATAACAAGGGTTGCAAAGTTTTGTGCCACATTTTTTGTCCCTAGCAGAACTTGGAAGAAGAAATAATGATGGTGGTATAATGAACACAACTTGGAGAAGGCAAATGGCTTTTTTTAGGGAAACAAAAAGAAAAAGAAAAAACGAGCGCCTTGTAATTTTATTATGATTGGGCCCAGTGCACCAAGCAACAGGCACATACTTTTTCTTTTATACTCCCTCTGGGCCTCTGCTCAATTCTGTCCAAACTTCCAAAGTACTCATCCACTCCTTGGTGCCACATTTTCTCATTGGCTTTATCTTACCTCTATGTTTCATCAAAAGTCTGCAAAACATTTTTATTAAATTGTATTTCCATTCATATTTGCACGAGACTTCTGGAACAAGCACATGGAAGAAGAAGAAGAAGAAGAAGAAGAAGAAGAAGAAGAAGAAGAAGCAGAAAACGGACATCGGTTTTCTTGGGAACATACTGCAAGGGTAGCTAGCTGGAAAAACAAAACAAAACAAAAAAAAAAAAACGGTGTAATGTGGAGGTTCGCGGCCTTCAGGTTGATGGTGAAATTGAAAGCAAATCTGACCCCCCCCCCAAAAAAAAAGAACACCCGGTGACAGGGGACTCTTATTAGATCAACAGACCCCAGGACTACACAACCCTCCCTCCCCCGCCCACCCACGCCCCATCACTCCATCCCCCCCCTCCATCGCTCCGTCCTGTCCGATGCTACCAACATGCCTTCCCCCCAAAATACCACCTATGCTTGCATCCTCGTACACACGATGGCCAGTAGGATAGCAAGCTGGGCAAAAAAAGAGGATGACGGTAGAACGAACTGATGTCGAACTCGAGGCGCTGAATCGAAAAGCACGAAAGATACGAAGCAATCAAGAGCTGCTGGTGTGGTTGCAGCCGTCGGAACGAATCATGGACCCCCCCCCTCTGCCTTGAAATAGGTGTCGGGGGAGTAGACAGACGCAGGGTGGGAAGAATGAAGACCGGGGGGTGCATTGGCAGCAGATTGGGACTTTGGGATAAATTCGAACTCCTGGAGTTTTATTTCTGGGCTCCTTGGCAGCAGATTGCGACTTTGGGACTCTGGAACCCAAGTATTGAGAATTTGGGAAGATGGGAAGACATTGGCACTGTTCAAATTCAGGGTTGGCACTCTTGGGACCAGTTTGGGACTTGCTTCTACAAACTCTCTCAGCTATAGGCATAGATCTGGAAGGCATTATTGAAAAAAAATGCTGGACACAAAGCTGATAGAGCGTCAAATGACCACAATGACCACACTTTCTCTCTCCTCCTTCCCAGCGCTAGGCACAGATCCTAGTTCTTTTTTTTTTTTTTTTTTTTTCCCAAAGCCATATTAGAAAAGACAGCTCTTACCCTCAGCTCTGAAGAAATGAAGAAGACCATAACCATTCAAGAAAATCCCGATCACGAGACCAGTTCAAAAAAGTCACACGTTTCTTTCCTCTCTCTCTCTCTCTCTCTCTCTCTCTCTCTCTCGTTCTCTCTCTTGTAGTTGGATTCAATCGTACATTTCGCAGCCGATTCTGACCAATACCTTGGCTTGAATACGTCTTCACCCTGGCCTGGAGTTCCTTGCAGTGTCAGCAGGACACATCAACGAGAACTTTGTTCCCTTGCACCCCCGCCATTTCGCAACACGTTCGTCGTCAATATTAAATGCGCAATTCTGTCAGTGAAAAAAGTTCCAAAAACGAAAGGAATTCAATTAGACAGACGAAAGGAAAGAAAGCTTAGAAAAACGAAAAATGGGAACGACGGCATCCTCTCACCACTTCTTAAATCATTCAACGAATCTGACCGCATTTGTGGCTGAACCTGGATGCATCTGAACAGAAAGGAGGGAAAAAAAGTCCAGAAATATGTAAAGAATTGTCAGTACTCTTGACTCTTGATCTGTTTAGTCCACCAATCCTTGTCATCATTGAAAACGTCATCATTCCGCCACTGCCAAATGTCCATTCCTTGTTCCATGGGACTCTTGATAAGGTAACTGGGCGGAATGATGACGTCATCATTGAAAACGTCATCATTCCTTGTGCCACCTAACCGCATCCAGAGAGCTCTTTGAAGCCCTCCGGGATGCGCCTCCCAGCAATGTCCATTCCTTGTTCCATGGGACGGCTGGGGGGTGGGCCCAATATGCAGGCCCAGAGGACAATCCACCATCTCCAAACGCTGTCGATGGCTGGGCAGTCCTACCAAGGGTGGATATTGGAATCCAAGGCCTCCCAGCAGGACCCGCTCCCCTCAAGGCGAAAGCCTTGGCGGATGACCTCTTTGCCGTCTCTTGCTATATATAGATTGGAATCAATGGCCTCCCAGCAGGACCCACTCCCCTCAAGGCGAAAGCCTTGGCGGATGACCTCTTCGCCATCTCTGGCGAAAGCCTTGGCGGATGACCTCTTCGCCGTCTCTGGCGAAAGCCTTGCCGGATGACCTCTTCACCGTCCCCCTTGCAATACCGCGCCATCTCTAGGATCCTTGAAACAAACGATGTTTGGAGGAGCTCGCTCTTCTCTCTGAAGCTGCCATCCACTGGCATAAGTCATTGTCCTTCTTACCAGCCGACTAATCTCTTGTGGTTCAGCGGGGTACGAAGCGCACTGATGAGGACCAGCGCGAACGCTTTCTCGGTGTTCAGATTGCGCTGAATTGCTGCTCTGATAAGGACAGGGTGCTCAAGATAATCAGAGCAGCAGTTTTTCAAGTTATTTTTTCTCTTTTTTTCACAGTTGGTGCAAATGTATCCAGTGTGTGCTACCGCGTGGTGGAAAAAACGAAATTCCCCAAAAAAAAGGGGAAAAAAGGGGGGAAAAAAGGGACAAAAAAGGAAAAAAAAGGGAAAAAAAAGAGGGGAAAAAAAAGGCAAAAAAAAGGCAAAAAAAAAAGGAACCAAAAAAAAAGAAAGAAAAGCAGACAGCAGAGACCGATTGGAACTAAAATTCTCGGTTTTGTCTTTCTTGTTTCAGTATTTCCCTTGAGTTTGCTGTGAAAAAGATTCAGATTTTGTTCGCGCACCGCTGCTTTGCAACCCCTGTTATTTATTTTCATTTTTTTTCAATCTTTTCCGTTCGTTTCATGGTGGTCGTAGCAGGGTGTGGGCCCTTGACGTTCTTCGCAACTTGAACCACCAGTACATCCAGCTATCGGCCGCGGGCCCTTTTCGGAGGCCGCCCGCCTCCGATTCGATTTTATCGACCGCACTGGGCCTCCAAAAGTTCCGCAGGCAACGAGTTTTCTTTTCCGGAAGGCTGGGGTCGTATACTGGCAGTTTAAAGCATTCTGTTTCACACCAATACTCCAGTTTTGCTTTTCACTATTTCTCCCTCCTCCTTCCTCCCAACCAACTCTCCTCCACGTGCATCCTCCCCGTTTCCCCTGACCTTCCCCTGACCCCTCCCTTGTCCCCTCTCCTCCTCCTCCCCCCCCCCCCCCCCCCCCCCCCCCCCCCCCCCCCCCCCCCCCCCCCCCCCCCCCCCCCCCCCCCCCCCCCCCCCCCNCTCTCTCTGTCGTAGTCTGAGAAGTCAGGTGGCGAGAGGGTGAGAAGAGAAGGTGGACTTCGAAGAGGAAGAAGAAGAACTCTCTCTCTCTCTCTGTGTCCAGTACTAACCTGTGAAGTTGGCGCCTTGATGCAGGTACCACGAAGATGGAGCTGGAGCGATGGCGCCACAGGTAAGTACCACTGGCCTCCGCCAGTCTCTCTCCCACTCTGCGATCTACCACCTACCAGCGCCCAGCGCTGAAGACTACTCTATGGCTATGGCGCCCAGCGTCGAAGACTACAGCTAGCGCTACTACTACTTAGCGCTGGAGACTACTACAGCGCTCCTCCTGAGTGCTGCGGCCGAATCCTGAAGACTACCAGTGCCTACTGAAACTACCTGCCCATGAAGTGCCTAGGACAGTCCTATGTACTTCTCGGGTGTGCCTCCTGACTCGTGCGAGCAGTCCAGGAGGCTGCTCTTGCCAACGCCAAAGGCAGGCAGGGGCTGCAGCTGCAGCTCCTGCTCGAGCACGTGAGGAACAGGCTATTCTTGGCCTGTTTCGCATCCCTGTTTACGTGCCCGAGTCTTAGGGGCAGGTCGAAACAATGAGGGCCTGAAAATGGCCCTCCGTTTCAGGCTGAAAACTCTGGGTCTGAAAAGACCCAGAAATAGGCTGGAACGGGGTAGGGCCTGCAGGCCCTCGTTTTTCAGCTTTCAGGCTGAAACGACCGGGGCCTGTAAGCCCTAAGTTTTAGGCTTTTAGGCTGAATGTCCGGGACGGGCCCTGCAGGGCCCGTGTGGCTACGCAGTATGCCACATTCTGTCTCTAGATCAGAGCTCTTCATAGCCAGGGATTAAGAGAGCAAACTAGAAATCCATTCACGAGGAGGCCAGGCAGCAATCAGCAGTCCTTCTCGCTTCAGAATTGCACATAGTACATCGACCCTCTTTCAATCCATATCAGGTGAACAAGAGGGAGTACACACACTTGAACCGTGTAAGTTTCGTCAGCCCTTCATATCTATACAGGAATCAAGGAAACGAACGAGAACGAAATAAGGGGGATAAGCAGCAATCAGCCCTCCTCGCATCCTCCTCCTCTCTACTCACTCACAACTTCACACCGTAAGTCGACCCTCCTTCAGTCCGTAGGGTGAGAAACTACTACCATCTTCCCCCAAACACAACGCACCCTCATTCTGACTGTATCGGGCTGGAAACATACCTTGTATACGTTTATTTTCAGGGTGCGTTATGTTCGGGTGAAGATGATAGTAGTAGAAATACACACCCCTGAAGTGTCAAGCCTATATACCATTTGCACAAATGGCTAATCAGTCAGTCTATATTATGGTTCGGGGTTCGGTCGCATGTCCAGTACACGCCACCGAGGACAAGAACGTAAGCATGTCCACAGGAGTGCTCACCTTCGCGTCAATATTGATTAAAGAACTTAGTTGATTGTTGAGGATTCGCACCACCAGGTCGAGCGGGTTCGCCTTATCAGGGCTTTCGATTGCCTGCACATCAACATCAAAATGAAACAAACAAGCAAAAAAAAGGGCGACGCTCAGAGGAAATTTGCAACCATAAAAAAAAAAAAAAACACAAAGGCATATATGTTTTCAAAGCTTCAGTCATTAGAGTGCAAATAAAGGATGTTTTTTCTATGTGTAGAACAAAAGAAAACGGTGAGTTAACTAAATTAACAAAAATAAAATTTAAAAAACTTCACAAATTTGGAGAAATAATCACAAGGCAATAGAGTGACAAGCAAACCACCTGTTATGCCTCATTACAACGTCGGCCTGATATAAACAAAGGACAAATGGACTTACATCATAACAGGTTTTTTCAACTTGTTTGGTTTGGCGTGTGTATTATAATGATCGCTATATAAAGTTATAAACCACTCCACAAAGACGAGGACGATGCTGCCTGACTGCTTCAGTGCACTTTCGCGAGATAGCAAAACCCCAGCGACCGAGGTTCCCACCAAACCATGGTTTACCTCTGGTCAGAGATTTGACACGAACTTCCAGACACTCCAAAACTTCCCAATGCGGTGCGAAAAGGGGGAAAGGGAGAGAGGGAGGGAAGGGGGCGACGCAACGGAAAAAAGAAAAAAAAATGAAAAAAAGTTTTAAAAACTATATTCAGTTTTGAATTTGTGAGGATTTGTTCTCCAAATATGTACAAAAGAGGATGGAAAAAGCCTTTGAACAGAAAAAAATAAAACAGGAAGAACTCTATATCCTGGTCAAAAAAAAAGAAAAAAAAGGAACTGGTCACCCCACACAGCTGCATTCATTGCAGTTTCACGATACCACAAAGTATCTGACCACTCGCATTTAAACCCACCATTACGAAAAAAGAAAAAAAGAAAAAAAACACGACACCACAACCATTGCACCCAAAACTATTCTTTTGAAACTCGCTTATGCTCGAGGGCGGATGGCCCTTGGCCAGGTGGCCTCAGAAATTGGGTGTGTGAAACTGCGGACAGAAAAAGCTAGAGTCGCTGACCTGGAGCGGTGTGATCGAGGTCCAGCGCTTGAGATCGGTCCGCGGATTCTTATGAAGCTACCGCAGACCCGTGCCAGACTGCCACCAGGCTGTCCCACAGGGCCCCTTCTCGTAATACGGGTGCATATTGCAAGGGCTGTCAGGCACAGTGGTAATTTGCAGGGCTCAGAACTGACTGTGGGCTGGGTTGCCTGTGGGCGAGTGGGGAGGAGGGCGGGGGGGGGGGGGGGGGGGGTCTGGTCTTCGCAGCTCAGGATTCGAAAAGCGCCGGCAGATGGAAAGTGGCCATTGAATGTGGACCCCTCATAACCTGGAAATCCCAGTTTCTAGGGTCTTTGGAGGAGGCAGAGTGCAAGACGGAAGAGCATCTGGTTGTGGCCGTGGTCAGGATATGACAGTCGTTGATGGTGGTGACGGGTGATGGCTGATGGCTAACAAACGATCACAAAGATGAATGACGTTATTGACAGTGAAGATGATGATAGCAACTGGCTTTTGATTGACGATGATGACGACAATGATGATGATGACAATGAGGATGGCGATCATGATGATTCAACCACGATAGCTACCAGCACAACGACAGCAGCAGAGGAAAAAGTGCAGGTGGAAGAGGAGGAAGAGGAGGAAGAGGAGGAAGAGGAGGAGGAGGAAGAAGAAGAAGAAGAAGAAGAAGAAGAAGAAGAAGAAGAAGAAGAAGCGCATTTGGAGATGATAAGAGATTTTGAAACCCAATTAAGAAGCAGTGACACTTGGGCGAAGTATTGCACCTGGCCGGCATTGAGATTATTAATTGTCTCCTTGATGCGCTCCCCCATTCTCTCCAGTTCTCTTTCAATCACCTCTGCCTGTTCAAACCTGCCATCATGAATACGAGGAACGAGGCACACAGACAACACAAGAGGTTCACCTCACATATCAAAAAAAAAAAAAAAAAAAAAAAAAAAAAAAAAAAAAAAAAAAAAAAAAAAAAAAAAAAAAAAAAAAAAAAAAAAAAAAAACTAAATGCGAAAATGGAAAAAAACTAGGTTGTTGGACCGGACGTCCGGGACCCCACTGACCGTCCGGGATGTCCGACCGGACGTCTGGTCGGATGTCCGACCGGACAGGGGGTTGTCCGACCTCGCGCGAAAAAAAAAAAAAAAAAAAAAAAAAAAAATTTTTTAAAAAAATTTAAAAAAAAAAAATAAAAAAAAAAAAAAAAAAAAAAAAAAAAAAAAAAAAAAAAAAAGTTCTCAGAAAAATGTGAAAAAAATATATGTTATGTAGCATAACAATACAAGCAACGTTTGCCTTGGAGTCATGTTCAAATTCGCAGTCAATCATGAGTTAAAAATTGAAAACCGAAAAAAAAAAAAAACGAAAAAAAAACTTTTTTTCCCGGACGACGGGGGTACCGGACGTATGGGGGAGACGTCCGGGGGAGACGACCGGCCCCCGGACCATTGGTAACCTAGGAAAAAACATGCTTGCTGGGGATGAGTAACCGGACTGCATAGCAACCAATAACATCAGCCAAGGTCCTCCCAAATGCTGGCTTGGGGGGCCAACAGGTTATCTCTAGCTGGTAGAACACCAAGCTTGCCCAGGCACGTACGTGAGGCCAATGGGGATTTGATTGTTCCTGCAAACTTGAATTTTAATAAATACACTAAGTGGATGTGCCCGGAGTGGATGCGGCAGAACCATGAACGGGAAAAGAAAAAGGAAAAAAAAAAAGAAACATCGCAATCAGAATGAATCCTCCGCTAGAGCATGCAAAGGTGCACCGCAATACTGTTGGGCTGTGTGTCCGAAATTGGATTTAACGCGGGTTTCGCGTTGAAAAATTCAACGCGCGTTGAATTCGCGTTGGTTGTAGGTTTTGTTGAGGACTACAACCCTGTATTTTTATTTTTATTTTTTGATGCTTCAAACAAAAACTAAAATGAAATGAGTGTTTTTGTTTTGGGTTTCACACAGATTTTTTAAGGGCTAAAACCAAAACAAAAAAAACAAATAAAAAATATAGGGTTGTAGATCTTTCAAAGATGTAGAACAATTAATTTTTTATTTAATTTTTTTGGAATTTCATGTATTTTTCAAAAAATCAAAACCATAAAAAGCAAATTAAAAAAAGGAAAAAAAGACACACACACACACAAAATTGGGCCTGTTGCAGGTTGCATGAGTCTGGCGTCAGTTGGTTGAGGGAACCCAGGTCCTGGGCCGCTTGTGTGAATGTATGGAAAGCAGGCCCTGGGCTGGATACGGGTACTGGGCCAAACACAGGCCAAAGGCAGTTGGGGGCATGCAACCACCTCAGGCCCAAGGCCTGTTCTCGTTCGTGCTGTGCCTCAGGCTACCAGGGCCTACTGGAAGCTTCCTGGGACTGAACACAGGCAGGCCACTTCGGTATAGCAAAGGGCCTGCCTCCACATTGGGCATTCGGGTGCTGGTTGCATGCTGCGTAAGCCCTCCCGCGCTGTAGCTCGTGCCACTCACGCGCTCATGGGCGAGCAGGAAGGAGCAGGCAGCCATAGCCGAGCTGCGCTGCTGTAAGCTGGGTGTGGCGCAGGGTGGTCCTTGGGTGCAAGTGGAATCTGTGTGTTGGGGAACGAGGTTGTGAGTAAGGCGAGACACACTCTCACGCGCAGGCACAGGCACACTTACACTTACACACACACACTTACAAACACACACATACACACACACACACTTACAAACACACACTTACAAACACACACATATACATACACACACACACTTACAAACACACACATACACACACACACAAACACACACATATACATACACACACACACACTTACAAACACACACATACACTTACAAGCACAGACACACACACACACACTTACAAACACACACATACACAAACACACGCGCATACATTCATATTCGTGCACAGACACACTCTCACGGCAGGCACACATGTAATGAAACCTGCAGATTCCCAGTGGACTGTACATTAGGCTGAGGGCGAAGCCTGGGGCTTGCCTCGGTCTGGTCGCGTCGTAGGTTAGATTCGTGATTTTGTGTTTTCTGTGTTNCAGTGGACTGTACATTAGGCTGAGGGCGAAGCCTGGGGCTTGCCTCGGTCTGGTCGCGTCGTAGGTTAGATTCGTGATTTTGTGTTTTCTGTGTTTTGTTGTCTGTGCGGTTGCTGTGTTTTTTTTTAACGCATTGAGGTGCGATGACGTGCTGACTTCTGCTGCCGTGACTAACGGAGAGGTTGTACCCTGTTGTGTGTGCCTGTTGTGTTTTGCAGCGTGCTTTGTTGTGTGTGTGTGCGTGCAGAGTTTTGGGTCACACTGAGGCCTATATGCTGTTCTAAAAATAGACCGGCTCCAGCCCTGCGATTGCAGGCCCAGTCTTCCCCGACGTCATAAAGGCCCTAAGGGCCTACAGTGGGTAGAGCCCGTAGCTGGGAAGGGCCTAGAGGCCCTAAGTCGAAACGGTACCGGTAGAGCAGTTTCGGTCCAGTAGGTCTAGGGTAGAATCTAGAAATAGGACAGGCCGAGTAGGTTTAGGACTTTTGGCTTTTCATTTTTCGCGTGCAGCGTTCGTGGCCAACCAAGTTTAACAGCACTGAATGTCTACAGCGGCACCTGCGACATCAGCTGCGTGAAGCGGCCATAGCCGGCCTACCTGAGACAGCCATAGCTGGGGCTGTGCTCAGCACATCTATCCCCAGGGGATATCTGCGTTTGGCAGGACTATCGGAGGGTCTTCACTGAGTACATGTGGGTACTGCTGCTGCGGTAGCAGCTAGGCAGCCATAGCTGCCTTCTTCATCGTCAGAGTGACTCATCGGCACTGGAGACTACTTCGCTGTTCATGATCTACATCTGGGTGTATGGCGCTGGCCTCTGGGAGGCTGTTTGTATGCAGCGCTAGACTCTGAGAGTGTAGTAGTGAGTGGAGGGGGTAGTTCTGGAGTGGCGAGATACTGAGTTGAACTCTGTAACGATAATTAAGGTTAATTGTGTTGAGTTGGCTCATCATCTGGGTTACTTTCCAATCGTGATCTTCGCAGTGTCATCATGTGATTGGTTGTTGGGAGTTCATCAGAGAGAGAGAACACTATGTGTATTCTCCCCATCTGTGCATGGTTGTCCTTCCGCTGTTCATCTCTGATCTGTGTGCAGGTGGACTCTGTCTCTTCCTCCCCCTGGTCTCATGCATGTATGGGCGTGTGTGAGTTCTTTTGTGAGTGAGTGGAAATCAAATTGTCAAACAACCAAGTTCATAACAGTTGGTATCGGAGCGAAGATTGGACTTGGAGTCCAGAGGGTTGAGCGCAACAGGGGCACCTTCTTCATCTGGCCCTAACTGGCGAGAAGATCCATGGTGGTTCTCCATCTCCAGTGACTATCCAGCAGGGAAGAAGGAATACAAGCGGTGATTGCAGGAATATCAGTCTGCGATTGATCAGGCACCCTGAGCCTGTCTGTGTGCCTGACAGGAAGTGCCGAGAACAGGGATATTTCGCCATCCACCTATCTGACCTCAGTTGATGATTGGGATCAGGGTGGCGAATTATACCCTAATCCAGTGATTACTGGGTGGCGGCTTCAATCCCAGCATAGCGCTGAGGGAGGGTTGATCGCAGGATCACCTCCTGCTAAATTAACCCTACTCAGGGCTAAATTTAGCACCAACGGCTCATACCTGCAGTGGCGAGATACCTTCAGGAGAGTATTCTCTCGCCACTGAGCCAGATTCACTGAATCTGAGGGGGTGGGGTGAATCATCACATCATACTGGAGCAGATCAACAAGTTTCAGGAGATTCTGTACGTGGGAAGCTCTGGAAGACTGTCTGCAAGTACTGGCGAGACCAGGGTTTGGCAGCCATAGCCAAAGCTTCATCACCCATGTACTTCAAGTGAGTTCGTTCCACATGAGTCCCTAAGTAGCGATTAGTATAGAATTAGTGAAAATAGGATTGATGGTCTGTCTGTCAGTACTGCAACAATCGTGAAATTGTCGGACTGCAGGACAGCCATATCCATCTTCTTCCTCCCTACCGTGACTCGTATCTCTTCACTGTTCTGACTCCAAATTGTTCTGGGACTGCTTTACAATATTGCGCTGCATCCTGTATGCTCATTCTGTGAATTCTGTACTGAAAAGACAGTGATACTGGGGATTTGAGTTTTGCGCTGGGTCTATTTATAGTCTACGCTATCTAGGGTCAGTCACAACTCAAAATTTGTCCGTCAGAATTCAAGTCTGTCAGTCTGGGGTGAATCGCAGTTCTATTTTTAGCATCTATGCTGAAGCGCTAATCCAGAAACATTGTATTTGGGTCATTACAGTGCAATCCTGAAATTCGCCATATCAAGGGTTATTTCTGTTGATGTCAACAGTGGCGAAATTTGAGGTTGGGGCTGTCAGGGTCTAGTTTACTAAGTCGCTATTACTTGTTATCCTGTTTCAGTTAATTCTTGCCTGTTCCCATCAATACTGCTAATTTGCTCTGCTTTCTGATGGGCTCTGGAATGCTAGTGGCCCCTGGAATGCTGGGAATGTGCATCTTGCAACTCCGGTGAAAGTGCAGTGTCAGGTATAGGGAATCATTAGTGAATGATTTTACTGGACATCGAGTCAGTAAAAGTCAGCCTGATTACTGACTCCAGCGGTTCAATTCCAACCCTAACCGCCTGTGCCCACTAACCCACATTGCTTTTTGAATTGACAGTGCAGCGAAATTTGAGTGTCTGTCAGATCTGTAAATCGCTGCACCTCCTGCTGTTTCATTTATTTGTTGTGTTGTTTTGAGAGGAAAAATGTTTGAAACCGCTGACACAGGTGCAAGGCAGGTGGAGGTAGTGGTTAAGGATGAGGCCCAAGCCT